AGATTAGCCGAGATAAGCGGAGATGAGCGGAGATCAGCCGAGATCAGCCGAGATCAGATCCGCCGAGATGAGCGGAGATGAGCCGAGGTGAGCCGAGATGGTCCGAGGCAGGTGGAGCGGCACTCCGAGGCGGACTCGCTGTACGTGGAGGAGGTAGACTTGGGCAAGCCGACTCAATGAATCAATGACTCACTCCGCAGTGAGTACGAACTAATTAAGTCCACCAACTAGGTCGACTTGGGCGAGCCGACGGGTCCTCGGCGTGCCGCGCCTTGGCCGGTCGAGCACAGGGCGCCCGCTCGTACTCAGTGGTTGGTCATGATTCCTCGCGCAGTCGCGTCGTGTCTGGGCTGGTGAAGTACATGACTGCGGAGGCGCTGCTGGGGCGGCGTGTCGTGCTGCTGGCAAACACAAAGCCGAGCAAGCTCAAGGGCGTCGAGTCGCAGGCGCGAGTGAATTCACCAGCTAACTAGCTAGGAATCAAATCAGCAAGCTCAAGGGCATGGAGCCGCAGGCGCTCGCCTCTGTAGCGTCCGCCCGGCAGCGGCTCCCAGCCCCCCTTCACCCTTCCCCGGGGGAGCGCCTCACCAGGCGATGCTGCTACAGACACCTCCTAGACGCTTCCGAGACACGTCCCGCGGCGACTGACCAGGCGATGCTGCTCTGCGCCTTCGCCGCCGACGGCAGCGCAGTCGAGCTGGTGGAGCTAATGATTGATTGCTACGAACGAGTCATACTTGATTGATCATTAGGCAGCGCGGTCGAGCTGGTGGAGCCGCCGCCGGCCGCGCCGCTCGGCGAGCGGGTCGTGTTTGACGGGCACGACGCGCCGCCCGAGAAGCAGCTCAACCCTCGCAAGAAGCTGTGGGACAGGCTGCAGCCCGAGATGAACACCGCGCCCGACGGCACCGCCCGCTTCCAGCAGCTGCCCTTCTCGACGCCGCACGGGCCCTGCAAGTGCGCCTCCATCGCCGGAGGCGCAATCAAGTGAGCTCCGCGCCGTGCGAGAGCGGCGCTGGCGCCGAGCGACGCCCGCCACGCGCCTCGGACATCACCCCATTTGGGGGGGCCCTCTGAACACAAAACACGCTCGGGCGTCGGGCCACACACATGCACACATCGCTGGTCGATCGTCTACTGTTTCGTTATCCCCAATGCTTTTGATGATAGAGGGTGTGGACCGTGAGTTGACGGAAATCGGAAAGGACGGGGAGATTGGGCCAGGTACCAATTTTGTCGAATTTATTTCAAAATCTGCAGGCGCGGAGCGCCTGCGAAAATTTTGAAGAAATTTGCAGTCGGGCCTGATTTTCATCAAGATCTTTCAAATTTGCGGTGTGGAGTTGGGGGGTGTGGGTTAGGTTAGGGTTATTAGGGTTAGAAGGTTAGGGTTAGGGTTAGGGTTAGGGTCAGGGTTAGTCTGGTTGTGTCTGTATATGCCAGCGTTGCAGGGTTCTGCGCTGGGATCTGGCCGCACAGCGCCGACGACTAAGACTCAGCCCCACACGCTGACACCTACGGCTTTAGGGTTAGGGTTAGGGTTAGGGTTAGTCTTCTTGCTTGTGTTTGTATGCCAGCGTTGCAGAGTTCTGCGCTGGGATCTGGCCCCAGCGCCGACGAGTAAGACTCAGCACCGCACGCTGACCCCACCAAATGCCGCCTCAGGGCGCCAGGCCGCCAGCCACTTCTTACACGCGGCCGGCGCCCTCTCGCGGCAAAAGGGTCGAGCGAGCGGGCAGAGTCGCGATGTCTGCGCACCCGCGTGCCGATGGGCGGCACACGCAACCGAGAGAGGCCCTGTCGCGCCGCCAGTAGCGTTCTCCGCACTCCCCACGCCACCAATTGCCGCCTCAGGGCGCCAGCCACCTCTTACACGCGGCCGGCGCCCTCTCGCGGCAAAAGGGTCGAGCGAGCGGGCAGAGTCGCGCGATGTCTGCGCACCCGCGTGCCGATGGGCGGCACACGCAATCGAGAGAGGCCCTGTCGCGCCGCCAGTAGCGTTCCGCACTCCCCACGCCACCAATTGCCGCCTCAGGGCGCCAGCCACCTCTTACACGCGGCCGGCGCCCTCTCGCGGCAAAAGGGTCGAGCGAGCGGGCAGAGTCGCGCGATGTCTGCGCACCCGCGTGCCGATGGGCGGCACACGCAATCGAGAGAGGCCCTGTCACGCCGCCAGTAGCGTTCCGCACTCCCCACGCCACCAATTGCCGCCTCAGGGCGCCAGCCACCTCTTGCACGCGGCCGGCGCCCTCTCGCGGCAATAAAGGGTCGAGCGAGCGGGCAGAGTCGCGATGTCCCTGCGCACCCGCGTGTTCGCCGCCTATATGCTCTATCCTGTGCCAAGACGGACACATTTTGACAATCAAAATCTACCTCAAAATTTGCGGCCGCCCCTCGAAATTTGCTGATCAAAATTTGCGGTGGCCCGGATCGAAACCTGTACTTTGGCCAAGACGGGGACCTGAGGACGCGACCCACTTCGCCACAGACGGGCTGGGGAGCTCCCCCGCGCCTCGGCGCCGCTCTATGACGGCCACACGACCGCATACAGCTGACGCAGTCTCGCCAAGACTCGGCCACAGAAAAGCCCCGAGAGGCGTGGGAGTACCTCGCCAGGGATGGGTCAGGTCGGAGATTCGCCCGCCGTGGAGAGCGCAACCGATCGTAAACAAGACGGCCCCTCCACCGCTATGACGGCCACACGACCGCAGTGCCGTCTTTGTCCGGAGTGAAAAGTCCAACGCGCTCGTCGGTACGTGGCGGCTTCCTCCAACTTGCGCCGCGCTCGGCGCACACAGTGAGTCATTCGGAGTCATTCGATGGCCCGCAGAGTGCGATTGTGTGTGTGCGGGAGTTGGTTTGTCGGGAGGGAGGGGCACGCTCCCTCGGGATGTGTGGCAGCCCAGGGCTGGCCTGGGGTGTCTTGTTGAGTTTTGTTTGTCTGTGTCTCGCGCTCGCGCGTGTCGTCGTCTTCTGGGTCGGGCGCGTCCTCCGGTTTCCTCAACTCACCCTCTCCACGCCCTCAGCGCTCAGGCCGTGTGTAAGTGAGCCCGGCGTGAGCGTGATCTGTGGGAAGCTGACAGGTGCTGTGTGCAAGTCCTGTTTTATTAGCAGCTCTTAGAACCAGAAACCACGACTTCGCCGTAACCACGACGTCGCCCCGGAATGGCTCTACCGTAACGGCTCTCGACGGCTCTACGGCTCTACAGCTCTACGGCTCTACGGCTCTACGGCTCTACGGTCGAGCAATGTCGTACACCATGCAATAACCACCATGCAATAACCACCATGCAAACCTCTAGTGTGGCATGCGCATGTGCTTAG